CCAGACTTACCATTATCCTCCAGACTTACCTTTACCCCCAAGACTTAGCATAACCCCCCAAACAATCTCTAGATGCGCTACTGCCAACCTTGTTACAGAATATACTATCCTATTTGTATAAAACATGAAATTATTAGATTTTCTTTTTTTAGGAAGGTGCCAAAATTTGACAGAGAGCCTCTTGATTTTTTAGGGAAAACATTTTATTATACGTTTTTAAAGTACAATTGCGAAGTAGTAGTCATTTATACATATATGTTAAATGCTAAATGACAAGATTAAATTATAAATAGCACTAAATGATTTACAAAATGTACTCGTACAAACACATTTTTGCCATATTAATTGATAACACAGCCGCACAAAAAAATAAAGTGTTCAGACTTGGCGGTCGGACGTAGGTATTCCCATATATTTTTTGACGCTGAATCCGATCCCGAGCTCAGAAATGACCCTTCACGTCTGGAATTGGCCCCAGGGGCCAAAAATGGCCTCTATAGGGCCTCAAAGGTGGATTCCGAGATGAGGCGTGGTTGAAGGTGCATTCTGAAGCCAAAGTCGGGTTTGTCGTCGAAAAGTTCTCGGACAACTGGAATTCCCCTTGTGGGCCAGGAAAATGGGCCGGTAAGGGACAGGAAATCGTGTTTCGGACGTCGCAATAGCATTGGTGGTATTTCTATGTACTTTTGAATTCTGGAATGAATACCGTGCTCTAAAAGTTTATGGCCAACTGGAATTCCCCCTTTGGGGCCGGGAAAACGACCCCTTAAGGGCCAGAAAGTCGTGCTTGGGACGTAGTAAGCTAGTGGCATTCTCATGAAAATTGAGTGAAGCCAATGTTCTTCTACTCTGCGAATAGATTTGACGTCGAGAAGGTTTCATCACGCTCAGTTACGGCCTCAATTCAAGAATTACTCCTACGTGATAGTTTTCTCCGGTATCTAAAAGATCCCGAATGCCCCATCTACCGATTTTAATGCGTCTAGCCTTTACCCATGTATTCCTCTACATTCGATTGTCAAGTATAAAGAGTAGTTTAAACGATACAGTATAGAGTCCCCGACTTTACTTCCTCATACGGAAGTATATACATACAGTGAGATATACGGGGATCTCTAATAAGACACAGTAGTCTCGATTTTGTGAGGAAAACCCTCTTAGTTGACGTTCAGGAGAGAGTTCCGGTACACCAGGTTTCTGGAGGTACGTTTTCGTGATGGAATTTGGATTCCGCGTGACTAGAAACCCCTATGACGATTTTCGGTTTGTCTTTAGCGATTGTGCCTGGAGAACTCTCGGAGACGACGTTTCGGTGCACTACGTGTTCGGGGATCGTTTTCGACGTGAAATTTGGATCAAGGGCCCCAAAAAATATCCCTACAAGGTTGTTCGGCTTATTTTTGGCAATCTTGGCAAGAAACTTCTCGGAGATGACGTCCACGTTCCGGTTTCAGCACACCAGGTGTCTAGGGGGTATTCGCCGATGTTATATTTGAAGTCAGCAACCCAAAATACCCCCGAGCGCCGAGTTTCTCTCCTTACCCGCGTGAATTTTGGGATAGTCCTCGTAGATACGTAGATAACGTTCATCGGCGTTGCTGAGCTCCAGGTCCGCTCTGGTTCAATTTGAACATCATAATCGTGATCAGCGATCTCGAAAACCCTCAGGAACTCGATTTGGGCCAGTCCTGACTCTTCCACCTTTCAGGCCATGTAGAGGCAATTTTTTGCCCCTGGGGCCAATTCCAAGCGTGGAGGGCCATTTCTGAGCCCGGGATCGGATTTAGCGTCGAACAATACATGGGAATACATATGTCCGACCGGCAAGTCTGAACATTTTTTTTGTGGGGATATGTAATACAGGTTATACAGGGTGTTTCATAATATATGCGCAGGACTTCAGGACGTGATAGCTCGTCCAAAAATATGAAAAAACGTTTCTATTAACTTATCCTCTAAAATGCACCATTTTCGAGATACAGGGTGTTGAAATTGAATAAAGAATTTCTACGCCACTGGAAAAAGTACGGTTTTGAGACGCCCATTTGAACCGCCAATGTTTTCTACACAAAAAAGTCGACCGTTTTCGAGAAAACTCAAATTTTGTTTCATCAAGTATGTATGACCATGTATTTCAACATTAAAATTTGATTTGAAGTCCTGCGCAAATATTATGAAACGCCCTGTATATCTATGGTAATACATTAGTAGATTATTTAGGATTCAACAAAACTGTCATAATTCAAACCAAAGAAATGAGAACTAACATCATGGCCAACTATAAAAATCTATTTTTCCTGTAAAATAAACTTTTTTTGTGAACACACATGGATATTAGCTTATTTACGCACAGTCTACAAAACAAAAAATTATGCCATTGCGTTCAAGGGAACGAATATATTTTATATCCATTTTATTTCAGTTTATAACGGTTTGGTAATACTGTATTAAAACCTAATTTTTTTTTTTAATTATTACAGGGTTGCCAAGAAATTATTTTTTTTTATGAAATTAGAGAATGGTGCAGACCCCAAATTAAATTATCATAATTTAGATTGGTTTACAATGTTTTAAAAATTATTTAAAATACAGACTTATAAGATAGCAAGCTAACGAATGGTGGTCATGGAACTCGAATATTTTATACAGAGTATACAGAGTAAATATGGCTATTTTTACTCAATTTTTTCAAACGGAACACCTTGTATATTATTTTATTATAAATTTCCTTATAAATTTACCTATCCAACTATATCAACATGTTAGCCAATAACACATATACAGGGTGTCCCATCAATGCGTAATTGATCGACAGCTGTTTTATTATTGAAAATGCGAAAAGAAAAAATAATATAAAAAATGTATGACTATATTTAACAATTATTCCTAAATAAATAGGGTGGTCAGCCCCTCGAACCCATACATTTTTAAAGCAGAACTTCCTGGAGGTCGTTATACAGAGTGTTTCAAAAAAAGGTGGCCCCGTTGCTAGGATAGGTAGAACATTACAAATTAATTTGGGTTTGCTCAGTAAAAAATTTTCGTAACGGTATCCGTTTTCAAGATATAGGGTATTGAAAACAAAATGTATACACATTTTTTACTACTGGCAACATTGTAATGAAATTTTGTGCGAATATGTTTTGGAAGCTGATACAACGCCTAAATTCGTTTTTATATCTGTCTCTCATAGAAGGCGCTAGTTTTTTTACCTTTTTACCCTTATCTTGAAAACGGATACCGTTACGAACATTTTTTACTTGGCAAACCCAACTTATTTCGTAGTGTACCTATTTGATTGTTTTCACATCGTCAAACAATTTTAATAGACTATTTATTTGCTATGTTGTATATAGGGTGTGTCAAAACGCAAGGTTATGATATTCTTAATTTTTTAAATGGAATATCCTGTATGTTATACTACGAATTAATAACTAGTATTTCATTTAAAAAATTAAAACTATGTAACCTCGCGTTTTGGCACGTCCTATATACAACACAGCTAATGAATGTAGTTAATTAAAAGTGTATGGCGATGTAAAAACAATCAAATATGTTAAATTACCTGCAGGGTGTTTTGCTTTAAAAAGTATATATTTGGTCAGCACCTCGTTTGTGGACTACCCCGTATATTTAAGAATTATGGTCATACAACTTTTATATTTAAAATTTCTTCGAATTTTCAATAATGAAAGCTATTGATCAATTACGCACTGATGGGACACCCTGTATATGTGTTATTGGCATGTTTATAAAGAATGTTATGCTAAAATAATATACAGGGTGTTGCATTTGAAAAAATTGATTAAATTGAACTAAAAATTAGCCATATTTAAGACATGTTTCAAAAAACTCAGTATAAAATAAACCAGTTATATTACCACTGTTCGTTAGCTTAGCATCTTACAAGTCTGTACATTAAACAAATTTGAAATCAATATAAATCTATCTAAATTATGATAATTTAATTTGGGGGTTTTCTCCAATTTCATTAAAAAATTAATAGCTTGGCAAACCTGTAATATTTTTAAAAAAAAATTCTAGGATTGAATATAGTATGACCAAACCATTCTAAAAATGAAATAAAATACAGGATGTTTTATTTAAAAAAATATACATTTTCATTTGCCAGACAAAAATGTAACACGGTGTATATCCAAAATCTTTTTAAACTATATATTTTTCAAATCCAGAAAACTTTTATTTGAAACTTGTTTAAGTGTCTATAACACACATTGAAATATTAAACAATTACACACTAATAGGACAACCTGTACATATTTCAAAAATTTTAATCAAACTATATGAAACTAATTTAATTACGAGTATTAAAACTAAAATCGTAAGTGTGTCGATGGAGTTGAGACCAGGGCGCTTGGCTCCTAAGCGAGAGGCCCGGGTTCAAATCTACACTGGGAATGAATTAAATTGTTTTTTTTTCATGTTTATTTTATTTTATAAATAAGTAAAAGTCATAAATTATTTTAGATAAATTATTTTGTCTTAACCTAAAATTATTTTTAAAATTTTTAGATTTTCGTCAGTGGGTCGTAGAAAAAATATACTGTACAACTCGAGTGAATTGTTTGTTGCACAAACTACTATTCTACCAACTTTAGTAAATTTAGTAATCCAGCTATAGTAGAGTAGATTTAGGCTTCTAATTAGAAAAAATTACTATTTTGTTTAATAAAATTTAGTAGTTTTTATTTTACTTGGTCCTATATCTCTATTAGTGCATATTAATGCTGTAGTGAATTAAGCACTTTGACCGGTACCTCGGCCTATAAAATAAAGACAGTATGAAATAAAATATTATAGGGTAGATATCCGATAAATCTTATTACGGCACTGCTGTATATTCTGAACTCGGCACCATTGCCTCGTTCTTAAAATAACTCGTACTGAAATAAGTCACCTACCGGACTTATAACGTAATTTACTATTTATTCGTAAATTAACATCTATTTATGAATTTAACAATTCTATATTTTATCTAGTAAGCCTGGCGCCCAGCGTGGATGCCATTAAGAGAGCAGAAAACGTGACGCCACACCCGTCACGATACTATGCAGAAGGTTTTGTAACTTTCAATGAAAAAGGAGAGGTAGGAAAACTATGCACCGAAAACGTCAACAGGAGTCTACCAGTGAACCAGTCGACGGCAGTTTTGCAAGCAGCGGCGGCGTCCCTTTGTAAAACCCTAAGTTACGAGTAAGTAGCCGCCTGGATTGCCAGATTTAAATCTTATCGATTTTAGGAGAACAAAGTAATGATTTGTTGAAAATGTCAAATTTATTATCAGTTTTTGTGCTTCCTTAATATGGTATAATTATAAAAATTATTAATAACTAAAAAAAGTAATAATGATCGGACTCTTTATGACGTTGATAAATGTTTATATTCATAATGTAGTATTTTATATATCAAGGGATTGAAGTGGCTCTACTTCAGTCCCATGATATATGCTATATTTTTTGTAGTTCAAAGACGAAATATTAAAAGAAGAGTCGTTTCAAAATTCTCTAGATCCTAATTAAACATTTTTACAGGAAATCTAAAAAATATGTACTTTATGTATATGAGGGGGTCCTTCTAATAAAGTTTTCCAACAAAAAAATTTATGTTTTTAGTTGGATAGATGGAAACTTCAGTGTTAAAGCAATCAGCATGTTTATGAAATAATACAAGATATTTACTTATGTTATGTTATGTTGGAAATAGGGTGTTAATACACTGCGACCTAAAAGATGTATTGTACTCCCTTATGTCTCTAATGCACCAAGGAAATGTCTCAATGCCTATAACGACCCTTCCGATCCTATTTTTTTCAAGGAAGTGTAGGATTTAGATTGGCTTCAAGTTAGGTAAACTTGCCTCTTCTATTTGATATCCACTTAGATATAGTGCCCTTGGATTCTAGAGTGTCACACATTCAGTTAGAATGTGAATAGAGGTTTCGTCCTCCTCCTCACAGAATCTGCACTCACTATCCTCTACTACTCTCAGTTTACTAAGGTGTCCTTTAAGTCGGCAATGCCCGGTAAGGATCACTGTTACAATACGTAGCCTGTTCTTACTCAGGCAGATGCAGGCTTCCGATCTTTTCTGGTTATATTCACCCAGAAGTATTTTAACCTGTCTCAGCCTCAAGAGATTGTTCCAATTATCGGTTCTTCTACTGCCCAATTCTTTTTTAATTTCTCCTAATATTATGTTACTGCTGATACCGCAGAACGGCTCAGGTCCTACAAAGGCTGTTTGAGCCCCTTTCCTTGCAAGACTATCTGCAATCTCCTTATCCTGTACCCCGTTATGTCCCGGGACCCAAGTAACTCTATTTTTTTTTACCTAGCTCATTCAATTGTTCTAGGCATCTCCAGACCATTTTTGACCTGATTACGTAAGAGCTCAGCGCTCTTATGGCTGGTTGACTATCGGACATGATGATAATCTCTTGTCTATGATAGTTTCTCTCGAAGTTAAACTGGATACACTTTTCGATGGCGTGAATAACCACCTGGAAGGTGCTTGGGTATTTTCCCAAGCTTTTGGAGTGCATGGTTTTCAGCCCATACACTCCTATTCCAGTTCCTTCTATTGTTTTGGAACCGTCCGTATACCATTGAATAGCATGTCTTTCGGTTGCAAGCGCGATGGATTCTTAGCTCCATTCTTTCTTGCAGCCCAGCTCTGTGGTTTTGAAGTTTTTCACAAAACTGTACCTCTTTAGCATTTCATCCTGGGGCATGTCCCAGGTATCTTTAGTCCTGAAGCAAGTAGACTTTCGTTTGAGCACTCCGTTCCTGATCATTCTATATCGTGTCCTTTTTGCCACATTCTCTATCATCAAATGTAGAGGAGTGAGGTTTAAGATCACCTCCATTGCGGCCGTAGGGCAGGTTCTCATTGCACCAGTAATGCAAACACAGGCTAGTCTGTATTTTTGAGATCTTAGCTTTCGTAGTAGCTAAACTAGTTCTGGTACGTCAGGCTATAGCCCCGTAAGTGATAATTGGTGTCACTATTGCAGTATACATCAAGATATTTACTTAGTACTGTATTGTTTTTTGAACTAAATTCTAAGCCCATCGCCTTCTAGAAGAATAATACCGATGACCTTTTCGCTATTTGTTGTCAATAATATCATTGTAAAAGATAGGATTGGAAGGGTCATTATAGGCATCGAGACATTTCCTTGCTTCATTAGCGATAGAAAGTCGCAGTATATTATCACCCCATTCCTAACATAACATAACACAACATAACAAGGACTTAAAAAGTTATGTTACGTAATCGAATTATTTAATTTAGTATTAGGGATTTTTGTTGCAGGTATAATTCAGAAACAGAAGAGCAGGTTTACATGGCAGCGTTGCCCTCGCTTCATTATTTTCATAAACCGAATTTAGAGAGTTTTGAAACCGGACTCCTTAATTATTATACTCTTCAGACAGTAGTCTTGAATATTTTAGAAAAAATAAAGGTCTATGAGGGGACGAAATTGATGAAATTGACGAAATTGATTTCGAAAAAAATGTGAATAAAAATGGGGGGTGAGAGGGGTTGAAATATTAAAAAATTCCTAACTCAAAAACGAAAAATATCAACTCGAAAGTTTTAGAACAAATCAATCTCCATAAGTGGCGAATCCTACTGATTTTTAACAAAAACTTCTGTTTTTCTTACCTAAAATAATGACACCTACTTTTTGAATAAAATTAATAATTAATTAAATATTATTTTTTTTTGTAAAAAACAAATTTGATATACCTATGCGGAATTCAATCAAAAAAGAATATTGCTATTTTTTGGTTGAAGAAAGTTAACTAAATTAATTTTATTAAAACTATGCATTTTTTATTTAAATAGAATTTTTTACATTAAAAAACAAATTAAAAAGGTATAATAACTAAAAATTATGGCATTAAAAATCACAAGGAGGATTTTTTGCTTTGTTCGTTTGTTTAACATAAATTTGTTAATCTAAATTCACATTTTTATTTTCAGGAAAGTAGCATCTGTGAATGTAGTAACAGATTTTGAAAACAACATTTCGTATGTTAGAATGAGGAACCCAACAGCATCCGAGATCAGTTTTGTGAGAGCAAAATGTCATACAAAGCAAGTTCTGCAAGTAAAGTGTGCTGATTTGCGTAAGTAAACTGAATCTATTTTAAAATTCAGGATCGAACAAAAAGTTACAAGAAAAAATTACGAAAACAGTTAATCTCATAAAATGGGGTTGTGACCAATTAGTCCCTCCTTAAATTTTGTCTATTTATATCAGAAATGGATTATTCTTGTGTCACCAATTATTAACCATTCATGCACGTTGTTAAAAATTAATTTTTTAACAAAAAAAAAGTAATCAACCTGTATATAAGAATTGCTTTGGTAACTGTCATAACGATATATTTATTTTTGTGACAGCAGCTGGCCAGCATACAATTTGAGATACAACTAGTGAGTAGCGGGGAGTTTAGGGCAACTATACTGCTTTATTTTTTGGTGTTGGTGTGGTTTTTTTTACACACACGTCTTTAGAATATTTTAGACAAATCTAGACCCCACATTGAGCGCCAATTCATTCTGAAAACGGAATTAAATTGGAAAAACATAATTAAATTTTGGAAAAGAAAAAATCTCTAATAATTTACCTGTTTATTACATCCTGCGTATCGACCAAGTACGATTCCCAACTAAAAATAAGGATATAATAAGTGATTAGTTCTTAATTAAATAAAGTGGATTGTAAAAAAAAATAATAATGAGCAAAAGAACAGGTCAGACCTATACAAAATTATTCCCTTATTACTTGAATTTCACCATAAAATACACTCTACCTTCACCTTCTTTCCATCTGTCTCCACTTGCCTGTACATTTTCACATCATCAGTTATAACCCCTTGATGTTGCCGAAACCATAAATTGTCGTGGCTATACGCGTGTCGAATACTATCCTCAATTTAATTATAAGTGATGTTTTCTTGAGCACCCCATGATGAGACAAAAAACACATCTCTTCATTACTGTGACTACGCACTGTTTCTTTTAAACAAGCTTCCATCTTATTCATATGACCATACTTAGCATCATACATAAATTGCCAATACATCTCATTGAAATTAGTACCCTTGGCAAATCTCCTTTCCAAACCTTTTTATACTGTACTAAACAAAGCTCCCAATCCTCTTTGTTTCATTGATAAGGTTACCACGAATTTACTATCCTTTTTTCTTATTGTTGTATCTCTAAAAATATTCTCACAAGCTTGCTCCTCTCTAGAATGAACATTTACTTGATAATACTCTTCTAGTGTCCAAAATCTTTCAAGCTGTTCCTGTATCCCAACATATGTAGTAATGTTACATTTTCTGATCTGACTTTTACTACAATTATCCCTGAATTGTTATGTAATGTTATGTTTCTTAATAATGATATTTTCTTCAGATTAAATCCTAAAAAACTCCTACACCCACTAACATGTCAATTTTCTCAATTTCTCCAAATGAAATATCTGCCAGCCTTATATCCATCGAAGATATTTTTTCTATTATCAGAAAGATTTCTACGAACTTATAACCCGAAACCTGCGAATTTTCCTTACCCGTTACATAATACTTGATAGAGTCATCCCATTTCCAATTCCCAATATGATCATATCAATATTTTTTAAAGGCAAATTCAATCGGTTACTCAATTCTTCAGTCATAAATGAAGGTTGTGAGCTGTTGTCTAATTAAGCTTAACACTCCCATTTTTCCCATCTTTATCCTTAATGTGTACCCTAGCAGATGACAATAATACTTCAAAAATCCTGTTTGTAATTCTGACTGCTGGCACCTTTGGGATACCATACAAATCCAAATTCATTATTCCCACTTTGTATACTAGTAGTGGACAATAATACCTCCAAAACCCTGGCATTACCCATATGATCTTGACTGCTCATACCTGAGCTATTGTCAATATCATTTTGAACCATTAGCTCTGCTTCAGTATTGTGCAACGTTTGTTCTAAATATAATAAAACATTATGTAGCTGAAATAATTTGACGAATTGATAAGACTATCCCCGAACCCCAAAGGTGAAAACACATACTTGGAGGTTTGAAAAAAGTCTGACATCCCTGGGATTCGAACCCAGACTTCTTTGGTCTGTTCACAAATTTCCTACCACTAGACCATCGCGACATTAACTGTCAAGATTCCTATCCGGCAGTTTGATGTGCTAATTCGGGATAAGCGCCGTTTCAGGTTCGTTCTTAAATCTTCAAATACCTCTCTCTATATAGCATTGGTGTATATGAGAAATGCATTGATGCATACAATTACAATTTTCAGACATTATGTTTTCTGTCACACTGGACACATCCCTTGGCCTGACAAAAGTACTCCCTATGTGCACCCTTTAAACATAATCTTGCATTATTTGTAGCTTTCGTTCTATCAGTTACACCCATATTTAAAAATTTACAATAGCTATCCTTTTCTTTAGATTAACTAAATCAATGTTCCATCAATGTTCAATATTTTTTTTGCCCCAATTAAAACTCCCGTAAAAGTTATAACCCAACTTGATTCATGCAGAAATCAACAAAAATATAGGAAAGAAAAATGTAAGAACTCCAATATTATACCTCAAAGAATTCAAACTTTTAATTTTTATATTTTCACAATAATTCACTCCTCGGCGATGCTTCACCACGTTGTATCCCATTCCCAATAAAAAATGCTACAATATAGTTACCGCCAGCCACTTGTTTGTTCAACATCCGTCAATTTTGCTTGTACCGGCATAACGCACTGACTCCAGGCTTCCTAATTGACAAATCCTTGCTTTTTGTACAATGTTCAATTTTGTTTGTACCGGCTTTATTATTGACAATCCGTAGAAAACAAACACAAATGAGCAACAGTTTTTTTATATTTTCTGACCTGTCACTTTTTTGCACTATAGTCCCAAAAAATCCAATAAGCATAATTTGTTACAAAAACCTAAACAATGAAAAAGTATTGGTTTGAAAGTTTACCTAAACTGCGTTTTTTTTTTAGAATGTGGTGTACAAGCTACTCACGGACCTACAGGTCTGAAATCATTGTCAAAAATGGGATCTCATGGTGACTGGCCTTGGCATAGTGCCCTTTTCAAAGAAGATGTCCATATCTGCGATGGTACCTTGATCTCAGCGGAATGGGTAGCCACGACAACATCTTGCTTCCAAGGCCAACCTAAAGCCGAATGGATTGCCAAGTTTGGAATCACTAGACTATTCAGGTAAAACATGTTTTCCTAGTATTTAACACAATTTATCATAAAGAATTTATAAATATTTAGATCATTGAAAAAATCTGTTTTTAGTTCAACTCCTTGGGAACAAGAAAGAAGAATAATAGGTATGGTAAAATCCCCAGTAGAGGGTAGCACGATAGCTCTTATAAAACTAGACCAACCAATAACCTTCAATGACTTTGTACGCCCGATATGTCTACCTAAAGAAAACATGGGTTTGCCCATAGAGCACGTGCAATGCAATACTTTGGGCTGGGCCAGAAATAGAGAACAGATGCAGAGAATACAAGTAAAATTGGTCGACAAAGAGAAGTGTGATAATGTCAGTATTACCAGCGTGAACAGCATTTGTACCGAACCTATTTATGGACAAAATGATTGTAATGTAAGTTAAATAATTTAATAATTTAAAAATTGTCAACATATATGATGATTTATGATTGTAATTAGAAAATATTGTTTTCATTTAAGGAAGAAGAATTTGCGGGTAGTCCAATGGTCTGTCAATATTCCAATGACGAAAAATGGTTTTTAACAGGAATAACCAATTGGAGAATAGCTTGTGCAAAAAATGGTTCAGAAAGGCCAAGATTGTTTGATAAATTATCGTCCAATATTAAGTGGATAAAAGAAAGTATCACATCAGAAACATGATGAATTTGTGAAATTGTTTTTATGAAAGAAAATTATTGTGCCAATGAAGACAACAAATACATTTTTGATATTAAACTACATACGTTTAATTTTGTTATAAAGTATTTGAAACATTTTCCAATACGCTTTACACAAGTGTATGAGAAAACTACAGAGAATTAGTATTAGAGCGAGCAAGAAACGAATAATATCAGTGTTACCAGTTTATACGGTTCGACCGTGTTGTAATATTGGCAGGGCCGTATAAAGTAGCATTTGATATTATTTATTTTCTGCTCGTTCTAATGCTAATTCTCTGTAGTTTTCACACTCACTTGTGCAAAATGTATTGGAAAGTGTTCCATAGCCGATACTGTATGTTCTCTGCAGAATCTTTAACAATATGAATAAATGAAGATATTATAGACAGTAAATAGATACGTATATTTTAAATAATTTCTTTATCACCTTTCTGTTTATAGAAAATAAAGAGAATTTTAAACATTTGTAAATATTTTAATAATTAGATAAGTTCGTCTGGGTAAGAATTATTTAATGTAACAAAATATAGAAAATATAGCATTTAATTTTTGTTCATAGTATTATGAATAATTTTATTTTATTTATAGATCAATTTTTTGAACTAAATAGGCTTCACTTTAGTTAATACTTTATCACACTTTTTATATATTTAGTTATTCATTGACTGATCAAAATCTTATACTTAGGGATTTTAAAATTGTTCTCTTTTATTGTAAGAATTTGGATTTTTTTTTTATTTATATTTTTTATTAATACTATTGATTGATTACTTTAGAATCAGTAATATTTTTTGAATATGAATTGTAGATGGCGAAACTAGTCGTGTGACTAAAAACTGTGTTACCATATTAACAACTCTCAAAAAATTTATTTAATACAATGTACAATATATGTATTGTGTTTGTTGAATTTTACAATAAATTGTATTTTTGTTATACGTTTTTTTTTTTTTAATTTTCGTTACAGTAAACTGAAGTTCGTTTCTATATTAAAAAAAAAAAATAATAATTTTAGTTTTAATTTATTGTACGTCTTGTTCATATTTGAGTTTGGATTTACTTTCCTTCTTTTAAAAATGGTATGCCTAACTTTTTGGTTCTACCTAGTTTTTAAACGAGCTTTGATTTTGAATTCTAAGTGCAGATGGCGTTACTTTGTGACTCCATGTTCCCGCTCAACATCTTAATACATGTAGGTAAGTGAATTTAACGCATCTGTAGATTACATTAGAGACTTAATCGAGAATGACTATTCCTTGCTGAAGGGTCCTAATATAGTCAAAGAATACCTACCCAAGAAGCGAAACCAAAGTATATTAACCATTGAGTAGCGACAGCTGTGGAACCGAATTCTAGTGCGCCGACGCGAAATAGAGAGGCGAAACGTCTTCACTTTAGTGCGGCAGCTAATATAGGAATTCGTTGTTGTGGACTTATTAGTGCTCTTTTATTGTGTTTTTGTTAAGATCTTTTGGGATTTTGTGAGTTTTTATTATGCCAGGAAATGCATATGCTTATCGACCTTGCTCGACAAGATCTGGTGATAACAAATCACTGTTTTCATTTCCAGAAGAAAAATGTGACATGATACATTTATCCACTTGTCTTCAATTGTTCTCGAAATTCCCTATTTGCAGAATTATTAGGTTATTTGCTTACGTTATTGTGTAGTGACTGTTATCATTGTACCTACAGTACTTATTTTGTTATTAAAATAATCTATTTTACATAAAGAACATAGTAAGAGTTTTTTGTATGTCATTGTTAACGGGGGAACACGGAGCGGTCTGCGAGCATAAAGGTTGAACTGGTGCAACCTGTTCCTCACACTCGGCTCACAGTCTGGACTCTGGCTGGGTATGGTCTGTGCTCTGGCTGCTCAATATGAGGTCTTTTCTTTTGCATCGAAAGTGTAGCACTGAGCTACACCACTTCTGAAAATATCGTTCCATTTATACAAATTGTATGGATGGAACGATATATTCAGAAGTGACGTAGCTCAGTGCTACACTGTGGATGCAAAGGAAAAGACCTATGATGTGTGCGGTATATAACTGGTTTGCTAACTAACCTGCTGTGACAGTTCGATCTCGTAGCGTAGTGCCTGTAATCGAATAAAACGATCATGTAGAGGGTCAGTTGCTCTCTTACGACCAGTATGTCGTTCTCTAACATCCCCGGTCTCACGGTATCTTGTCATCAATCGACAAATCACACTAGCTGATGTGTTAAGGACCTCCGCTACTGCTCTATAATTTTGGCCCCCTTTAACCATCCCTACTGCTCGCAATTGTTCGTCGCGGTTTAAATGTCGTCTTTCCATCATGAATAACTAAACTAAATACTAATTCGAATACCGAAAATCTCGTTTTGTCCTTCGTAGAAGCAAAAACCAAAAGAAACTAATACGCTATTTTTATCGATAAAAGACAAATATTTTTTACGCACATTTTATCAGTTGCTAAACCTTCAAAAAAACATGTAAATTGTAAACAAAAAGGTATCAAAAATATCTACAGAAATTTTTAATATAATACCTGATGTCTCAAAAAAGTTATAACAATTTTAATCCTTGTTCCCTAGATTTTTTTGATGTGGTATATATGTATAATTTCATTCAAAAAAGCAAACAGTTGAAAAGTAATTAATTATCGGATCATTCTGTTGACATGCGAGTATTTTTCATATATTTCGTCTTGAACACCATTGATGAATATCTTTTAACGAAATTCTTAGGTTTTATTGAATAAGAGTTATAGAATTATGATATTTTGCCAGACCCTCTATTTTTAACTCGTCAAGAATTACTGTTAATTAAAATTAATTGAACAATAATAACTTTATTTCAAATTTGATTTTTACATATTCAGCTGAATGTAACAGATATATTTACAAGACAAAAAAAATTAAACAATGTATTACAATTAAACTTAAAGTAAAAGTATACAGACTGCCTGTCTAATTTGAGCGAGTATACATGATTGATGCAGGGTTGGATTTAGGGAAGGGCATAAGATGCTGACGCCACGAGGCTTCGACAACAAAGGGGCCACAATTATACATTTTCAGTAAAAAAGAGTGTGTGCTTAAGACCACACGCTAAAAATTAAAACTTATTTGGTATTGGTAATTCTAGGTACCTAATATAAAATAAAAAGAAAATGATTTTAGTATTATTACGAATATTGGTTGGTAAAATCAGGAACACACACACAGAGAAAGAGAGAGAATATCGCGTCTTATATACTGTGTGGTTTTTATGTATGGAATAAATTCAGTTATTTTGGGAAAAACTGAAACACCAATTTTTATCTTAATTTGATCATTTATAGTATTAAAAATTACCCCCCTTTTGCGCCCCTTCTAAAATAGTAATATCCCCTTGAAAACACTAAACAAGAAAGGGGATCGTGTCGCATCTTATCTAAAAAGGATATTAGTTTTCTCTTTGGCAAAGTTTGTTTACTGAGAAAATTTATTTTGAAAATGTAAAATTTCGATTATATCTCTTCACAAAAATATACGTGGTGTGAAGCAAAGAATTAATTGAAAAATAAGTTGAAAAATACCTTCTAAATATTATGTAACATTCTTTTCTTCATTCTACGTAACGTTTTATTTTGGAAACATCATAATTTTACATTTTTTAAGTAATTTTTTTTTAGTTATAATTGCACGAAAAATTTTATATTGCTGAAAAGGGAATTAAAATCTCTTTTAAACAAAGTGCCACACGACTTCCTTCCTTATTTAATATTTTCGAGAGGGTGCTGATAATGTAGAGGGAATGCAAGAGGGGGTAATATTTTCATATTATAAATTGTCAAATTAAGAATAGAAATTGACTTGCTAAAAATTAATTTATTCCATGCATATGGACCGCATTGTATACACAACAAATTCTGTCAAATATATCTACTCGTATTAAATAAAAGATACAATCAAGAAAATATTGTCAGTAATAAATAATAAAATGTAAATATTGACACATTACACGACGCGTTTTCCTGGGTTGTATAGTAAAACCAAAGATCTAGTGACTCTCATAAATCATATTAGCCGACGACCCTCATTATCACTATTGTTCGATTTGTAGATAAGCGATAAAATTGTCTGTTGGTTAAAAGATTTCCAGGTCCGGATTAAAATATATATTCTCATGAAATAGTGAGGAATATGTTTTTTTTTAATAATACTCGTATTATAATTGAGGGCTCTCTTTTTCAATTTTTAACAGTATTGAATGTAATACTATTTTTATAATAAAAAAAAAGGAGTTGAGAGCTTGGGACATACGGTGCTAAGACTTCCTCCTTACCAGTGTATATTTAACCCAATTGAACATATATTGCGTCAGCTTAAGTCAGCAGTTCGAAGAAATAATATTTCTCCAACCTTAAGTTCGACTGTGGTAGCTCTTATTTAAACAGAAGCTGCAAAATTTCCTGATAGCAGCTGGACCAAGTGTGTTTCCCATTTAAAAAAAGTGGAAAATACATATATTGATATAGAAAAGATACCAAGAGAAAGGTTCATTATTAATTTGTTATGACGATAGTGAAAGTGAAACTAAACTTCGTGAGTAATTTTGTTAAAATTTGTTTAAATAAATAAAATATTAGAAAATTAAATGTAAAAATTCCACTATATTAATAAGAATACTTATCTGAGTAATTCAAAATCGAAAATTGTTTCAGAAGCATAAACTTTTATCGTCAGGATTGACAATAGTGGAATTTTTACATTTCATTTATTATTTTATTTATTATGAATATATTCCACAAAACAATCACTATGACCTAGCTACTTGTTCGTACTTTGTCATACTGATTTTTATTTATACCAAGTTACCACTTTGTACTTTTTAATAATTATATTTTATATGTTCAACCTACATTCTGTACTTTTTAATACTTTATTTTCTACTTTTTAGTACTTCTATTACCTACCTACTTTTTCGTACTTTGTCATACCGATTTTTACCATTTTACCACGTTATACTTTTTAGTAATTACATTTTATATATTCCACCTACATATTGTACTTTTAAATACTTTATTTTTTACTTTTTAGTAATTTTAGTACCTACCTACTTTTTCGTACTTTGTCATACTGATTTTTGCTTTACCACATTACTTTTTGTACACACTGTATAATTAAATAAACAATTCTGAATAATAGTGATTTTTCTTAATATTTATTTTACCCCAATTATTGACCTATAGAACAAAACTTAACGGCTAGGGTAGGTACGTCTCGTCGTAGATACGGCCGCCTGTTGATAAGTAAATTACCTGCTGTTTATCTCTGGTTTAACTATAAATGAAACTGAATGAGAATGACTGCAGAATAATTTTAAATGAATTGCTGGAATTAGATAGTAAAAGGGTATATGGAATTAGCTGTGCAAGGTAGGAAATTTTAAGGGATTTACAGGTTTAAAGGAAATTAAAGTATTAAGAAAAATTGCTGTAGAATCACCGGGAAATTATGAGAATTGACAGGGAATTGTTGAGGAATTGCAGAAGAATTTCCGGTGAATTGCTAAAGAATTGATCAGGAACTGCGATCAGGAACTGCAGAGGAATTGGGAGATAATTTTATAGGAATTGTGGAAATTAAATAGAAATTAGAAATTAGGTGTAAAAATGTTGGCCTGCAGTTTACCCCTTGGTTTTACTCTAAACAGTACATAAAAGTATTATTTTCAGAGACAGTGCTTCACTACTACGGATTAATGAACGTAACACTCTTTCCTCCACCAACTGTAAGACTTTTCCTTTTATTAACCTCAGATTTAAGTCTCAAAATCGGCGAAGCTTTCGGTTTCACGGACGTCGTATGCACTAATTTAACTCCGGAACCGTTATAAGCGTTGTGCAAGTTACTCAAATTCACTGCGTTATTTTTCAATTGTTGAGTCATCGAAAAATCGAACTGTATAGAATTTCTAATTGGTGTTTCCGGAGGTTTATTTGAACGTCTTAAAACGGCCGATCTTTGGAAAGCCTCTTGTTCTACGTAGATTTGTTGTTGGAATTCGCGCGCCTCCGGCAATAAACTTGAAGATGTCGCTTCCAGTAGCTTCGTTAAATATGAAGCTTGCTTGAGGTAGAGCAAACACTGATTTTCCGTTCCGCCGAATCTGAATACGTCTTTAGCGATTGCGATGAACGTTTTGATGAAATGGCAGAGGATTAATTTGGCTTTGAAGACTTCGAATTGTTTTTCGCAATTCCACTGGAAAATGAAAAATATTATTATTGAAATTATTTTTACATTTTTTTATAAATAATCGTACATAGTTGTTTTAAAGCCAATATTGAGAGTCATATTATTAGAAGTTTATCTGTGATAATCTATTATTATCGGATTTGGAAAATCGTACCTTTTTGCTTAGAGAAGAATAGTAAATAATATTTGATACCAGAAAGTCAAAAAATTATCTGAAAAAAGTTATAGTCTTCTGAAACTGTAGAAAGTATAATACAAAGCGGTCCTGAGCGGTTATATTAAAATAGTGTAATACACTAAAAAACCTCCATAAGGTGAAAGCACCAATGAAGAAACAGTTAAGGGATTTATTATTTTTACTATAATTATTTATAGCATTTAAATAAAAATATTTTTTTCTTTTTATTAGATGATCTAGCCTGATGTACTTAGTTTTAATATAACTAGTTGTAAAAGAAATATGACAACAGATTGATTTTTAAACAAGTTTTATATTCAAAAAATATCACAAAGCCCAGTAAAGAAACAGGAATAAAGAAATTTTAAAATTCCAATAAAGAAACACACTTTTGTGAACTATTTAAGGCATTTTTTTGTACAAATAATGAGTCAACATAAATAATTGTTCGCCTGAAAAGTCAAAATATAAAACTAAAAACGTAAAATAAAACTTATTCTAAATAGTTATAAAAACTGGTATGTTTAAAAACTTTTTTTTATTAAAAACACGTCCTTATTGAAGTTCTGGCACTTAAAGAAAAGCTTTCGAGAATTGACTGGTATAGATTGTTCTATTTTCTTCACGATATCTTTTTCAGGGTACCAAATCTGATCAGGTATTATCGGCCATTTCCATAGTCTGTCAACTCGCCTCTCCATAACACTCACCTCGAACTCACTTCGGTTGTCATACTTTTTAATCACGCCTGGATACTGCTTTTTTCGTAACATACTGTTACGATAGTCTAATTTATTTAGAGTTTAATTATTTAAAACACACTATTTACAATTTATTTCAGACGTACTAATTAATTTATATAATTCTTAGACACTGACTAACAATTCAAATTTATTACACTTTAACTTTTTATTCCAATACTCTGTACTAAACTAAACTGTGCGCCGATTAGTAGGGCTATTTATACCAAGTCCAACTCTGTTACCAAAGTCTCTAGGCGCTCCAGAAAATTCCATCTCTGATTCAACGGCACGCATCGCCCGTTCTTGTATATTCGAGACGCGGTCCGACTGTCTTCACACAGCTTCGATCGTGAATCGAGTAGCAGACTTCCTAGGTCACGCTTACACAGGGTTGGCTCAGCGTACACATTGCCCCTCCTTAAGAAATAGTTCCTCCTGGAACTAAAACTGAATGATTGTATCTGCAACTGGATCTTCTTTTACAAATTCCAGTTGCATGGAAGTAACAAGGGACAGTCTTCGCTATAACCTGAACGCTGGGAGAATGGCTGCAGACCAGTATTTCAACCTTGGTATCTTGGAAGATTACTTCCACCATGTTTCTAATGATCCTCCAATTCAGCTGGTTCCTCCCTATCGTTGGCATAGCTAGTTTCTGCACATTTGACTCCATTACATGCTCCCTCAGACTGAGTAATGCTTTCCATACATCCTGATAGATTGATTGATCTCGGAAGGTATTCTTTGTTAACAAATAGAAGATAACGCGATCCATCTTGAAGTTTTAATGTTTTTCCAGAAGCTGGTAACTGATCTTGAAGTTCTGGCAATCGACCAAACTTCGTTCGGAATACAGATGCCAGACGTCGAGCGTCGTAGATGTTGGCGGAAGTAACGTGAGCAGGTCTTGTTGTTGCTAGGTTGTAACACCATGTCTTGCTTTTCCGGTACCTCCATATGCACCCACAAATTTTTCAAAGACAAAGTCAGGCGTTTTTCGGAGCTGGTTTACTTCTTCTTCCTCTTCATGGTCACCCTCAAATGGCGCTAGCCGGTTTTGGTACACTACCTTTGGTTTACCGTTCGGGATCTTACTTATATGGTAAATGACATTGATTTTTTTCTTGATGAGATATGGACCTTCCCAAGACCTTTGAAGCTTCGGAGAATAACTCTTTTGTCTTTTTGGGTTATGGAGCCAGACTTTGTCGCCTTCCTTGAAACACCCTTCTGTGGCTTGGGTATCGTATCGCTTCTTCATTCTGTCGCTGGCGATTTGAAGATGCGAGCGAACCAATTTATGCATATCGTCCATTTTTCTTCGTACCTGGATCACATAATCTTCACCAGCTACATCTTCTCCAGGTCGGCATCCACACTCGAGGTCGCATGGTAGTCTCATATCACGTCCAAACAGGACCTTTGCTGGTATTTGGCCTGTTGATTCATTGACAGCGGTTCTAGACTTGATGTTTATAGGTATAAGCAGCAACACTCATATCTCATAAATAGTTTATCCCCAATAGCATAAACACAAATCATTCATGATAATGTATGTCCATAAAAAAGGAGAATGATAGGTTACAAATGGTATTTGTCCATGCATTTATAAAATAAAAAATAAAAAGAATAATTGACAGTTAGCACATGCTGAGCTCAGAATTATCTCATTGGCTGACCGAAGGTCTTAAATTGTTAAGTTAAAAGTTCTTAAGTTATGTTACGAACATTTATAAATAAGTATACGTAAATTCAATATTTCAACTTCTTACGTTAAGTTCTTAAGTTACGTTACGGCGGTTATAAATTAAGCTTCTTGCGAATGTCTACCTTCGTTATGTTCCATTAACCTATCGTCTTTGATTTTGATATCATTTTGATTTTACTGATTCATCAGTTCCTTTGCTATCAATATCATTATTCTCACAACGGTCATCTGAGTGGTTTCTGTCGAAAGCGCTATTCAAAATTACATGTTCTGAATCGATTTTTGCATTGATTTTGTCTTTCGGTTCACTCATACTTTTGTATGTCAAAATGTTTAAATCATTTGTCATTCCCACACTTGTAGTGCTTTCTGTTGTTGCTATTGTCGTATCGTCACTTACTCACAATAGTACTTCATTGGAAATAGTAATATCATCGAATGCCACTGGCATTAAATCTAGATCATCTTCTGTAAAAACTAAGTTATTAAAACTTTCGCTTCTATCTATTCTTTCCTGGGCATGATCATTACAAAAATTTCAAAACGTATAAAGACTATCCTCATACAACTGATTTGAAGATTTGAAACTATTGAAATTATTCTTTTAATCATCAGTTAGGTATATGTTAAGAACTTTTAAAGCTGCTTGAATATCGTCGCGATCTATGGCTTCACCTTTTTGTTTATTAAGTTCTTCTTGTCTAATATAAATGCATTTTTCGTATTTCACGGCGTTTAGATCAAACGGAAATAGGCCACAACGTTTGAATCCATTTTTGATGGTTTCCAGTTTCTTGTTTATATTTTCTAACAACTTTTCTCCACTCAGTTTTCTCTGGTTTAAATATTGCCACATCACATGGTTGTAAAATGTGGGTGCCATTTGGATATAGGCAGTACAAAATAATTTGCTTCTCAGAACAAAAATTGGATAGAGCCAAATTTAGATGAAACTTATGTCCATCAATAAATAAAACCATGGATAAAAGCAATTTGCAATATACTCAAAAAAGACATCGGACGTCATCAAGCCAGAGTCGAAACGTCCACTAAAATAGTCGTCTGGGAAAGAGTCTGCAATATCTCTAGGACTTCTTTTATATGGCAGCACTATCATTGGTGGAACTACTTGAGCTGATGCTGAATAATGGCACAAAACTGTAATTGATTGCTTTTCAGATCCCGAGGATATTTCATAAGAGTTCCTATAAGATTTAGGAGCTAACAGTTTCCCAGATTTTGGACAAAGCTGATCCCCCATTTCATCAGCATTATATATCCAGGTAGGTTCCATTAGAACGCCTTCACAGTTTTCATTGACACAAAATTGTTGAACTTTAAAAAACCAATTTCTTAAGGCTTTCTCTGTAACAGATGCCTTAGCCTTTGAAATTATTTCGGCATTTCTTTTAACGATATGAGGGTGCCGTTGCATGAAAAGCCGAAACCATTTTTTGCCCGGTCTGCTTTCGTTAAATGGGGTTTTGGCATTAGAATCCACCAATATCTTTTGAACAGAGTCAAAAACATTTTCTGGATGAATGGGAAATCCAACCTTAGCTTTTGATATTATACAGTCTGCAATTTTCTTTTCAATTTCGGCGCTAAGCAGTTGGTGGGCCCATTTTTCGGGCAATAGGGGTAAGCCCTCTAACTTTTTTGCTTAGAGTACCTTTTGGTATCCCAAATTCTCTCACTGCATTACTAAGCTTGTGTGTTTCAAGCTTTACTGCCTGAACTGCTTCACCAAGGTTTTCTTGGCTGTAATTAAAACGACTGGAAAAATTTGTTCTAACATCTTTTCCAGGCATACCTAGGTTTGTGTTTTTTCTGTTGTAAGTATCTCTGAAATAAGATAAAGTGGTGTCCATTGAAGTACCCAGTAAAGAAACCTTTAGTTTACCCAATAGAAAAACCATTAAAATGACGTTTCTTCACTGGACCTACTAAAAATTTACAGGTATAACGACAAAATGTATAGTCTTTGGACATTAATGTAACTTTATATAAGAAATACAATACTATGTTACTATTTTTCTGAAAATCCAGTTGACACTTTGTTTCTTCACTGGATTTTTAGTGTATTTAGATCCAGTTAAGGAACACTTCCAAAACAACAACTAATTTTCATGATTTTAACTATATGACCTCTAAAACAACAAACTATATTCAAACTTAATCAGCTTAAGCATTCTTGATAATTTAATGTTGACTATACCTATGCTTACCTCAGATTTTGCGCATTCAAAATGGAGTCGCGAAAATGGCACCTTCTTCTACAACGTTTTACAGACGACTAATACAAGAATAAACTTTAAAATCAAATATCACTAAAAGTAGGAATGCCAACTTACATGGCATCAAACTCGCGGGAAATTTAAAACGTACCCATTTCTTAATATATTTAAAAATGTAGATTTTGTTTCTTTACTGGTTCAGTTTCTTCACTGGTGTGCCCTATATAACAATTTTCAAAACAACACGTTAAAGAAAAAGGTAGAGAAAATCGGTTATGATACGAAAACCAAGGTATACCAAATATGGAAATCTGGAATCCATTCTCACAAGCCCAAAGTGAAAACAAAACAAAGAAAAATGTATCCCAGTCAGGAAGTGAACCTCTATCCTCGATGTTACTGCCTTACCAATAATTTTATTATTGTGCTAGATCTTCATATTTTAGCTTTGGGCATTTGTGATAACATTTTGTTGAGACCTTTTAGAGATGAAACATATTACTGAATTATTTTGAATTTGAAAAATGTCGAAATATTGGCACCTAAATAAAAATAGTGTATGAAGAGCTGAATTAAAAGGACGATCCTTAAAGTGAAAAGAATAATAAAGAGATTATCAACCGCAAAAATTTTTATTAAAAAAAATTCTTACGTCCAAATCTATTGAATCCACAGATTCGGTATCCTCTTCATCCTTAAAATTTCCGAATTCCTTGTTTCTATCATCCAAAATTTTCTTCCTCTTAGCTTGCTCTTGTAAATACCTCCATTGCATTTCTGGATCTCCATAGTGCCTTCTTCGTAAATTAGGAATGATGTTAGGATTGACGAGTTTATAACCTTGAGTTTGAACTAGTATTCTGCAAAATATTAAATAAGGAATAATATAAGTAAGCTCGTCATTATAACAAGTGTAGTATTAATAAAAAAAAAAATTTGTCGATGATTAGTCAAAAAAGAACGGATAAAATGTAAAATTAAAGACATTAAGAAGTAAAGTGGAGTCGGAGCAGGTAGGTCCTGAGTAAACAATGTTTTTACATTGGTATTATTATTATTATATTAAGGTTAACACAATGATCCGACCTCGCCATTGATGCCCCTCCTTATTCTAAAAACAGTAAATGTTTGTTGCAATCTGAGGGTCTAAAGTTTTTTATTTTAGCACCAATAACAATAATCTTCTCAGAATAGGAAAGAATTAACTATCTTTTAAATGTGAGACAATCCATTTTTTAATGATAATCCTTAAGTAAACCACTTCCTAGTTTTGGAATATTCTATATTTATAAATGATATTGGAATTACTTTAAAGCCTAATCTGTCAGTTTACACCTAGTTTCAAACACAAAGCACACGTACACATAAACTCATTAAAATACACTCCCATCACATCAACGATAGGGATGTTGCGATATTACTGATATGATACTGGTATCGATACTTTTCTTTCGATACCGGTTAATTTAGTACCCGATACTTTGCTTTCGATACTTTATTCATATGAGTACTACTTTTGTTTCGATACTACTACTTTCGATACTTTATTCATATGAGTACTACTTTTGTTTCGATACTACTACTTTCGTTTCAATATATTTTACTAGGTTTGACTTTTTGACTTTACAATACTGTAACGGTTTGGCTCTACGGACGAGACAGTGCCAGGGTTTGCCACAACAGTACGAGACAACGAACTGTCAAGGTGATAGGAAACCCAACCTACAATCGGGCAGGCTGACAGAAACTTGGAGAAAGTGTGAGGAATGATCGAGAACGGTCATGGAAGCCGTTACCATGGATTATTGATGATAGGACACTGTCAATTTGGAGTGGAAGATAGAAAGCCGGTCAGCGCGTGGCGGATCAACGTTTCAATTGTATATAGTAATAATTGTAAATAGTTTACGCGTTCGGATAGTTATTTTTTTTGTATTTTAATTAAATAAATAGTTTCAACCCACACTCGTGTTACAATTGGTGTCAGGTGTGGGGTCCTGAAGAAAGAAGATGTCTAAGAAGTTAAATCAGTTGCTGGTTGCAGAGCTCAGAAGAGAGCTAGAAGAACTTGAGCTAGACACGACGGGACCCAAGACGGTGTTGGTAGCACGTTTGAGGGAGTACTACGAAAGTCGAGGTGATGATCCTGATGCCATAGAATTTGAAGATCCCTCCCTGAAGGCTGTGAAGTCCTTTGCCGAGCTTGCCGAAAAGATGTCCAACCTGTCTACGGAGATGTCCCTTCAGCGAGATGAGCTTGCTGAAAAGATGACCAGCCTGTCCTCCGAGATGTCCAATCAGAGAAAGGAGCTTGTTGAAAAGATGACCAGCATGTCCACCGAGGTTCATGAGGTTAATGAAGAAGTCTCCAACCTCTCCCGGGCCATGGCTAACCAGGCAGCAGAACTGCGAGCAGAAATTTCCCAACAGGAAGAAAGAATATCCGGTGTGATTGCTCAGCAGGAAGAAAGAATAACCGGTGTGATTGCTCAACAGGAAGAGAGAATATCCGGTGTGATCTCTCAGCAGGAGGAAAGAATATCCGGCGTCGAAGAAGAGATCCAGAAATTACAAGATTTCCTGTCCAATCCGCCACCTCCTGGAAGAAGAGAAGAGGAACCCAACCCCGTGGTAGAAAGGCTGGAGAGCAATCTTTCAATTCTCGAGATCAAGCTCCGTGCGATCGAAGAACGATTCTCCCGCCAGTCTTCAAGAGGTGAAGATCGACGAGACTTCGGCGCTGTAGGTGAGACCAAAGCCAGAATGAAGCCACCTACCTTCGACGGCAAGACCTCCTGGTCCAACTATCTCAAGCAGTTCAACGCAGCGGCCGACGCCAACGGATGGTCCCCTGGGGAGAAGGCAGTAGCACTCACAGTTGCCCTACGTGGTGATGCTCTAGATGTCCTGCAGACCCTCCATGCCGACGAGTCCAAAGACTTCGATCAACTGGTGAAGCGTCTAGAGATGAGGTACGGCCAAGCACACCTGGAACAAGTCTACCAGTCCCTACTTAAGAATAGAAGGCAGAAGGCAGGTGAGTCCATCCAGGAGTTCGAAGCCGACGTTGCACGGATGGTACGCTTTGCCTATCCCTCGGCCCCTGAAAGCGTACTCGAATGCCTAGCTGTCCAAGCGTTCGTCGATGGAATGAGAGACCAGGAGTTGCAGAGAGCACTGCGCCTAGCCCGTCCCAAGGTCCTGGTGGATGCACTGTCAACGGCGTTGGAGTTTGAAGCAGCAACTGCAGCGTCCCGTGCCCATGACCGAGTCCGAGCCGTCACCAGCCACTCCAGCGAAGAGGAACACTATGGAGAGTCCAACAGGGAGATCCTAGAACAGCTGGTGAGCCTGATGAAGACTATGGCGACGAAGAAGAGGAGATCAGTACGATGTTGGAGCTGCGGAGAACTTGGTCACGTCAGAAGTGCATGCCAGCATCGTGACAAGACCACCCTTGAGCTAGTACGGACCAACCTGCAACCTAGCGACCGAATGAAGAAGTACTACGACAGCCGAGCAGCAGAGTCCTGCTATAAGAAAGGTGACCTGGTATGGCTCTACAACCCACGAAGAAGGCGGGGCTTATGTCCAAAGCTGCAGAAGAGCTGGGAGGGTCCATATGTCATCAGGAAGAGGATCAATGACGTAGTCTATCGAATCTACAAGGCTCCCAGAGGAAAACCGATAGTAGTCCATTCTGATCGACTAGCACCATTCGCCGGAGACCACGATGAAGGTGTACGAATACAGCGGCTCCAGGACGGAGAGAACCCTACGTTTGAAGACTTTATGAGAAAGTTCGGAGGAGCTGGAAGGGCAAGGTATGGCATCGTTAGAGAAGTTGAACAAGATCTGTTCCAATTGCCTGAAGAATACTCTCTTGTCCACAGCACTTCTGCTAACCTCGACATCCCACATGGTTTGGCCAAGATCTTCAGGGACAAATACGGTCGAGAAGAGGAACTGAAGAGACAGCAACCAGCAGTGGGAAGTATTCTGAAGCTTCAAGATGGTCAACGCGTTCTCTTCTATTTGATGACCAGAAGTACATTCCACCAACGACCGTCGTATGAAACCCTCTGGAAGACCCTAAAACTGCAGAAGGAGCAAGTTCTAGAGCTCAACCTGTCCAAACTAGCCATGCCGAAGATGGACTGCGGTCGTGATGGTTTAAACTGGAGAACTGTTCGAAATATGGTTGAAGTTATCTTCAAAGACACGGCAGTAGAAGTTTTGGTCTGTAGTTTCTACCTCCGAGAACCTGGACAGAAAACCGTTCCCTGTTACTTCCACAAGACATCTTACTGCAAAGAAGGTACCAATTGCCGGTTCAGCCACAACCTTGAAGACATCAACAGCATTCCAGGAGGAATGCATCTGAGGAGGGGGCAGTGTAACGGTTTGGCTCTACGGACGAGACAGTGCCAGGGTTTGCCACAACAGTACGAGACAACGAACTGTCAAGGTGACAGGAAACCCAACCTACAATCGGGCAGGCTGACAGAAACTTGGAGAAAGTGTGAGGAATGATCGAGAACGGTCATGGAAGCCGTTACCATGGATTATTGATGATAGGACACTGTCAATTTGGAGTGGAAGATAGAAAGCCGGTCAGCGCGTGGCGGATCAACGTTTCAATTGTATATAGTAATAATTGTAAATAGTTTACGCGTTCGGATAGTTATTTTTTTTGTATTTTAATTAAATAAATAGTTTCAACCCACACTCGTGTTACAATACGAAGAAAAAGTATATTGTAGGATCACCTTATGGTATGATATGTCGGCGTACCCTATGACCTTTTTTTTTGTTGTTCTGTACTCTTCCCGATATCGGTATCGATACTTTCGTTCCGATACCCTTTCGATACCGGTATCGATACTTTGGTTCCGTTACTCCTTTCAATACCAGTATCGATACTTTACTAGTATCGCAACATCCCTAATCAACGATATCACAATCACGGTATCACACGAGGCACTAAAGTAATTGGGACAGACCTGTTATCAAATAAAATATTAAAAATAAAGTCAAAGTAAGTAGTAAGTAAGACATCTACATAAATATGTATTTATACAGTCCTAGGCTCTCCTAGATTCATTTGTCTAGAGTGTGCAAAATTATGCAAAATTTGCCTAATTTTTTACCTCTAACCTCACATCTCATGGCGAACTACACTGTCGGCTAAAGCAGAATTTCCTCAGAAAGGAGTACTATCACCCCTCCTTTGGTAAGTCCTAGTGGACGAACTCATAAGAAGGCTAATACTTGCAGATTTCTACTGCCTAGGGTATTCCGATCACCTGCCGATTGGCACCGCTCTAAACATCGTTGATCAGTGGTGAAGAACTTTACAAAACGAAAGAGGTATGGGCATGATTAAAGTGACCAGTACTGAAAGGAGTAAATATTCTGTTTTCCCAAGAGGCCAAATACTTGGGTGTCATCTTTTGTGACAGGTTAACATGGAATCAACACTTGCCAAAATTCATCCAAAAAAGAAAAAAGTACTTTAACTTATGTCAAAGGTTGTGCGGAAAAAATATTTTGGTTGCCAGGTCACCAAGGGATCGAAGGCAAAGAAAAGGCTGACGAACTTGCAAAAAGAGGGTCAGAAGAAACACCGGAACCAGACACAAACCCAGGAGTACCAAAAAGTACAGTCCGGGGTTTCATAAACGACTGGATTCGAGAACAACATATTAACTATTGGGAAAGCACCCCAAAACAGGCACATGGAAAAGTTTTCATAGACAGACCATGTCCCAAAAGAACTAGAGAACTACTCTTTATGAATAGGAACCAGTTGAAAGTGATAACAGTGATTCATGACTGGGCACGCCCCAGTAAAGGGACACTTGAACAAAATTGGCATGTACGATGGGGAACTCATGTGCCGACTATGTCACAAGAAACCAGAAACGGCCAAACACATACTGTGCGAATGCGAAGCTCTAGATCGCAAAAGACAGGCTCTTTTTGTACAACCCCTGGTTGACTCAACAACGTATAGAACCCACTCACCCAAGGATCTGTACAAACTTGTACAAGGTACAAAAGTGACAGAGTGGGTGCTATGAACTAACATGGGGTAAAATACAATAAGCCATTAGGCTTCAGTATTATTCGGAGACATAGTCAGACGAGCCCAGGAAAAAAAAGTGTATCAGAGAGAAAAGCGTGGACGGGAGGACCTCCTATTTACGCAAAAATCACCTGGTATACAGCTCCAAAATCTATAAACGTCCCAGAGTATGTACATTTATAGTGCCAAGTCAAAGACAGTAATCTCACTGAGCTTAGGTAAACATGTGATAATAGCAATACATCACTGCGCAAAACATAAGATAAATAGAAAAACCATTGTCATATTCTCAGACAGTCAAAAGCACTATTTGGGTACATTCAAAACTTGTATGGGACTTAACAGAGCTTGGTAGTCAAAACAGACTAACCTTAGCCTGGGTATCAGGCCAGAGAGGACATAAGAGCCCGTACTATAGACCTATATGCCTAATCAACACGATGAACAAATCATGAAGGATTGATAAGGAACAGACTAGTGAAGGAAATTGAGAATGGGGAAGATTTCTCCAAAAACTAGTACGGGTTTCGAAAGGGGTGGTCTACAATACAAACAGTGCAGAAGGTAAGACAGGAAATCGATGGTGGCAAATGGACAGCATTAATAACTCTTGGCGTAAGAAATGCCTTTAACATTACATCTTAGGACAGTGAACTAGAGAAAAGGGGAATGACTCTGTAGTTTAGAAATAAAGTCAAAAGCGAAAGGAAATTAATGGTCAGCCAAGAAGAAGAGCTTAAAGTTACATCGGGATACCACAGAGATCGGATTTAGGTCCGACATTATGGCTAGCAGTGTATGATGGTGTCCTGAGGCTGGACCAACCAGAGGGTGAAGAGCCATTGGCTTTGCAGATGACCTTGGCATCATCGTTAAAGCAAACGACCGGCTGGAAATGGAACACAAAGCTAACGAGGCTCTGTGGAGGATAGAGCGCTGGATGAAGCGAAACAAAATGCAGCTGGCACATGAGAAGATGAAGGCAATGGGAGTCAAAGGACACGGATAGAGGACGAAAAGATCCGAACACTTCCTCAGTTCTCAGGAAGTAACCGTCAAACCTACTACGGAAATTAAGTACCTCGAAATCACACTGGATGATATAAGTAGTTTTGGAAACATATAAGAACAGTAACTAAAAAGGCAGAAGAGAAGATTTAAATAATGAGCAAAATAATGAAAAACATAGGAGGATCAAATAGTAAAACAAGGGATATACTAGGTAATGTAGTATATTCTGCATTTCTGTACGGGTGACCAATATGGGTCGAGGCTCTGCAGGTAACTAGATCTAGGCAAATGATGATGAAGAGAGTCCAGCGAAAGGTGGCTCTAAGAATCGTTATAGCATACGGTGTCCCTGCAAGTACTGATATCTAAGGTAATACCTATACACATACTGGCCGACGAAAGGAGACGACTGTACAACAGTAAAAATTGGCGTCTAATCAAGATTAGAAATGAAGAAAGATTGGTAAGCCCCGAGAAGTCAGAATGGGAAGATAACACGGAAAAAGGACAATGGACGAAACGGCTTATACCGAACATTCAGAGGTTCTATAAATGTCCACAGAAAGAGACGAACTACTTTCTTAGCCAGGTATTAACGAGTCATGGACCCACACAAAAATAATTGGGAATACACAGAACGAGGATTGTCTGTACTACGGACAGGTTGATACGGCAGAACACACGCTCTTCAACTGTAAAAATGGGAATCATACCGACAGGATACCAGCACCCAAATAAGAGAGGTTATTGATATCCAAAATATTATTGGAATCATTGCGAGTGATAACGAAGTGTGGCATGCGGCAAACAAATTGGCCGAAAAAATATTTTCTAATAAGGAAAAAGATGAAAGACAAGAATAGTCATGGATAAATCCTCCATCCTGCAAGTGCTTGGGTGAAGGGTGGTTTTAGTGGACAACCAGAACTTGCACAACAGAGCCTGGAGTTTCAGACTATTGGTGAAAGGCAGAACCGGAGGCTACTGTTCATCAAGAATTTCCACCCGCAAAAAAAGTGCAATCAAGAGGCTGATATACTAGACCGAACAGGATCCCTAAATGCTCTTATTGGCCCAGAACCCTTCTGTGGTGTCATAGAGTCACCTATCAGAATATGCACAAAGCAGTAGATATTTAAACAATCTCAGGAATGGTGGAAAAATTCACCAGCACAGAGATAGGCCAAAGAGTTCTCAAAAGGATCATCGTCAAAATTCACCAAACATCTACTAAGCCAATATATGAAAAATGCTAGAGTACTAGTAGGCCTATTAATAGGGCATTGAAGGCTTACAAACATACGATTAACATCACTCTAGCAGAAGATACCTTGTACCGATTCTGATAGGAAGAAAAGAACTTGTGAAACTCGAATTTTTTATTTTTGAGTTCAATTTTACCTCGAAAGTATATTAAAATTTCGTGTCGTTATTCCCATGTCCTTTTTGACATAGAAAACTCAGTTTAATAAGTCTATTAGGTCCAGCACTTCACTAACCCCATCATCGCCAGCTTTTTTTTCTTCACGTCTATCTCGGTTAAAGTTTATTCCAAAACTGTTTTGTTCCGCATGCGTCATCACAATCGAACGGTACCACTATTCTGCTATGGCTTTAAGTTGCGATTTACGCATTGCAACTATCGCTACGCATACATAACGTCATCAATAGCTTTGCGAGAGGCTTCGTTTTACTTACATTCGTTAGCTTGTTGTTTTGTGCCGCTATTGTCATATTTGCGTGTTTTTTACAATGATGCAATTAACGTTGCACTGATGGTTGTGTGTATCGGGATGCTGGAACAAATTCTCGGCAAGCACATTCTTAAACAATGTGGCCGCGGGAACCCAACAATTTCTTAATTTAAATTAAATTTAAATAACACTAAAAAAAATTCTTACCTATAAAATTCTTTAAATTCGAACGGATGATAAAACTTTCCACTAGTGTACCTGAGACACCTAAGCGCTTTAATAAAATGTACTACAGGGTTTTGAAGAATCTCATTTAAAACCTTCTGAGCAAAATGAAGATATTTTTTCGGTATATTCCTGAAGTGGTTCTTCTGTTTGATAAAGTAATCCGGTAATTCGCTTTTAGAAAGACATTGACACAAGTTTTCTATCACTTTTAAAATTTTGGTTCCCAATCGGTGCTCCGGCCAGTCTCTGTAATTGGCTTCGCATTCCCAATACATGTGACACCTGATGTGCTCGATCAGCAGCCCGTGTTGTTGAGTTACCGGATCTATGAATGTCCTTAAAATAACAATTTAAAATTATTTAATTTACCAAAATTATGAATTATGTAATAAATTACTTGTGAAGTGTCAATAGAAATAAATAACACCGAATCTGAACATGCGACATTCTCGCTTCCAAGTATCTCTCAGCCTTCGGAAAAGCTATTTCCCATTCTATAGTAGCATCCGAATACTGACCCCTTTTCATCCAGTAGCCCTTCGGTATCAGCATACAGTTGAACGTGCGCATTTCTTTGATCATCGGATCTGTCGGCCATTTGTAGCGGATACCCGTGTTTTTATCTGTTATCGTTGGTCTGTCCTCTCGCATAATGAATTCGTAAGTAAGCTCTGCCGGCCACTGAATAGCTACGGAAGGAATCACCTAAAATACGAAACAACTTTTTAACATTGGAAATGTTTATGATCGTACGAGTTTTTGTTCAAGACCAAAAGACGCTTGATGACGCGATTGAATGAAGCAATACAAATAGGGGAGTTCCAATAGGTTTGCCGATGTAAGTTAAAATGCGCAGTGGAGAGCTCATTTTACGGGAGGTTTCGAAGTGAACACTTAATAATAACAAAATTCAATCAATTCTATTGGCCGAGAAAATATGTACAAATAATGATTACAAAAAAATTAAAAAAAGTTATTATCATGTACAATATCTTCGATGGTTGCAAGGATTAAGAAATCTATGAATTTTTTTTATATAGTTTAGACAGAGAGAATTTATTCATCTAACTTTTTGTCGACTTCAAAAAGGCATTAGACAGTGTACTAGTCCAATCACAAAATAGACGAACACAAAAAGCAAAACAGCGGTCGATCCTTTAAAGTAATAGAGGGAATTGGAATTTCAGACCTTCATGTCACCGTAGAGGTACTCTGAGAAAACTATTCATTGAAACTACACTACGAACACTACATTTATTTCAACTGTACTTTAATAATGCTTTAAAAAATAAGAAAAATTGTACACGCGACATATGTGATTTTTTACAAGGTCTATTTTAGAAACACTTTTTGTGGATCACTCCTTGTTATAATAAATGTCAGTAGGGGAAGGTTGCCTAAAATGGGATACGTGGGTAAACTGGGATAGTGCCACTCACAGATTAATTAAATGTGGTAACATCGTGCCATGACGTCAGAATTGTGCGCGTCGCTAGGGTAAAGGTCGTTAGAACAACATCGGCTAATGAAGTGAATGGTTTTCATTTTTTTATGCCGGAATTGTAAATTTTTAATGTTATATCTTAAGACCTAAAAGCTAGCAGAAGTAATATATCAATCGTTTCCAGTGATCTTTGTGTAGAGTATGGTCCTGGTTTTCATTGTTCTTCTAGCATTTGCTTAAAAAGTGACAACAAAAAATTTGAGGTTAGTTTAAATACTTTAAATCAGGTGTGGGTAAAATGGGAAATTAATATTGTGGGTAAAATGGGGTATCCCGTTTTACCTAAATCAAATGAGCGTAGTATATTTTATTCTATTTTTTTTTTAGATGCCACACGTTTACAAAAGAAAGACTGATCGGCAATCGTGGTCCGAGGAGTCAATGGCTAAAGCTTTAGAGGCCTTAGAAAACAGCACTTGTGGGTATTTAAAAGCTGCAAAAAAGTATGGAGTGCCAAAATCTACTTTAGAGAGGAGATTTAAGGAGAAGAACAAACATGCCACTGGTTCTTCTAAATCGCTGGGAGTAGAAAGGTTACATTTCCAATTGAATTGGGACAACAGTCTAGTATGGTAAGAATATGGAAGGTATGCTGTTTGGATTAACAACAAGAGGTCTAAGAAGCCTTGCTTATCAGCTTGCTATACAAAATAATATTGTTCACTACTTTAATAACACAAAACAAATGGCTGGATGGCATTGGCTTCGTTCTTTTTTTAAAACGACACAATCTGTCAATTCGGTTACCTGAAGCTACCTCTGCTGCACGAGCTAGGAGTTTTAACAAAGAAGCAGTGTCATCATTTTTCAATATTCTTGAGCCTCTTCAAGAAAAAAATATCTTTGCTCCGGCCAGGGTCTTCAATGTGGATGAAACAGGCATAACTACGGTTCAGGGTCGTCCTTCAAAAGTTATTGCACTTTAAGGTCAGAAACACGTGAGTACCCTGACGTCTGCCAAATGTGGGGAGCTGTCTAGAGCCGTAATTTGCATGAGTGCAAGTGGCATATTTGTCCCGCCTATGTTAATCATTCCTAGAGTTCGTATGAAGCCACAGTTTCTTGAGGGTGTTCCTCCAGAAACATTAACAGTTGCTCATAAATCTGGTTGGATGCAATTGGATCTATTTGATAAATGGTTTAATCATTTTCTCTCTCACATACAAGCATCAAGAAGTAATCCAGCATTACTTATTCTCGATGGTCATAAAACACATACGCAAAATATTTCTATCATAGATAAAGCAAGAGAAAATGGTGTCACAATTTTGTCTCCCACCACACTGTAGTCCCTCTAAGCGCCTTTTATTCACAATAAATGTAGATTTGACTTAGAAATCATCCAGGGCGATGCATCAGTGTAAGCGAAGTTCCTTATTTATTTGGCAGAGCATGTCTTCGTGCTTCTACTCCGATAAATGTTATTAATGGATTTGAAAAAACTGGACTGTACTCAGTAAACCGCACTGTATTTACCGAGGATATGTTTATAGCAACACTTCCAACAGACAAACCACAAGAACAGGATGATGTCGTACCATCTTCGTCCGATTCGGAAGATGATCCACCCGAACATAACGCTAATTCGGAAGGTACACGCGAAATTGAAACTAATAGCGAAGCTACACCCGAAAATGACCCTAATATAGAATCTCTACCTAAACAAATAATGGCTCTTCCAAAGAAATGTTCCGAGGTTGTCAAAAGAAGTGCTTTACATGATAAGCCATCCACGAGCAAAGGTATAACTTTGATAAGTACTGAACAAATTGCTCCTTATCCCAAAGTTCGTATTTGAAAAACTACGAGTACAAATAGAAAAAAAGGAAAAGCTGCCATTCTTACGAGCACCCCTTATAAGGAACAATTAGAAAACTCTTTAAAAGAAAGAAATAAAAAAGTTAATGTTAAGAAGATAGCTTTAAAAACAAACATCAACTTACTGAATGAAAAAAAATCTAAAAAGCCTTTAATCAAAACGAAAAAATTACAAAAAAAGAGCATTAAACATCAGAAAGCAATGATGATGCGGAATGCTTCTACTGCAACAACAGGTATTCAAAAGATGGACGTGGCGAAGGATGGATACAATGTGTTAGTTGTAAAAATTGGGCACATGATACCTGTGCAGGAGTCGAAGATAATGAAGATTTCTTCGTTTGCGATTTATGTCGCAACTGACATTTCAAAATTTGTTCTTATTACATTACACAAATTACTTTTGATTTACCTATTTTTTGTATTAAAACATTTTTCACGATTTTTAACATTAATTTTTTATCCCATTTTACCTCAACCATAATTCCCATTTTACCCGCACTAAAATTAACACTATTTTTTTGTGTGCAAAATAATACCATTAATTTTAAATTTTTAATTACCAGCTTAAATTATAACATTCCAAACATGTCGTTTTTAATTATGTCAAAATATGAACCACTAAATATGAAAACTTTTGCTTTTATAATTTTTGAAACCTTAGGTATCCCATTTTAGGCAACCTTCCCCTACTTTAAAACATTACCTCACATGGTATAGGATTATCGTCATCATCAGTCAAATTACAAAACATTTTTCCAGGAATGGACTTGGTTAAATCAATTTCGTGTTGAGTAAAGCCAAGAGATCTGCCTAAAGAACTCGGAAACAAAGCGTTTTTGAAGTAATTCATGAACCCTTTAGCATCTATGTAAATAACATTATCAAAAAGATTGTCCTCATTGAATTCAAACTCGAAATCGCTGTTATTTTCTATATCGTAGATTTCGTGATCAGGTTTCTTTACTTTTCTCGAGGTGAAACATGTAACAGGCAGAGTATCTCTTCGTTCTACTTTTTCTATTGTTTGTAAAAGCTTTGGTGTTCGTAGTTCAGTAATAGAGGTATATTCATAGTAATCGGAATCTGGTACTTGTAAGCCACTGGGTCCGGGTTCGTCTGGATTGAAGGGAATATTTTGTACCTTGTTGGTGTCGATTTGTTTAAGTCTTACGAAACCTGAAATAAAACAGATTTTTTTCTATGAGGAACCCCAATACAAGCTGGACAAAACAAAAACCGTAAAAACTTTGTAAATTCAAATGAATTTATATTTTAGAATAAAAAATATATTTTTTTAATTTTACAGGATTTTTTCTATAATTATATGAATTAAAAATGAATTTTTGTAAATTATCAGATCAAATATATTATTCCTTAAGCATTCATATTAATAAACACGGATTCGTAATAAAAGTATAAATATATTTGGTAGCAAAAACAATCGCAAAATTATTAAGAGACTGTTAAAGAAATAAAAACTTTGTAAATTAAAATAAATTTACAATTAACAATGTATACTTTTAACCGACTTAAAAAAAGGAGGAGGTTCTCAATTCGTCTAGATATTTTTTTTATGTATGTTCAGCGATAATTCTTGAACACGGTGTCCGATTTCAATGATTCTTTTTTTGTTAGAAAGGGGGTACGTCAGGGGTGGTCCCATATATATTTGGTCAAAATCTAATAATTGGGTCCCCGAGACAATCCTCAAATTCTTCACTTTTTATGTATGTTTAGAGATAATGCTTTACCACCTTGTCCGATTTATATGATTTTTTCTGAGGGGTGGTCTTATATAAATTTGGCACGTTTTTGAAGTCGGTTTTTTTAAATTTTTAATTTCTAATACTTGTTTTATTTTGAGTGAAAGATTAAATAAATGATGATTCCTGATAAAGCAAAAATATATTTTTGTTTGTTAAATATTTTTTAGCAAACATAACACCACTGACGTTCTATGATCGGAAAATCAACCTTTTGTCGCACGAAAATTTTTGTGGTAACGAAAACTGCGCTTACGCTCATCGGCGCCAAGATCCAACTTTTGGCGCTCAAAATTTAACCATGCGTAAAATATTATCATATAAAGCCTGTTGCATTTTCGGGACTAACCAGTTGTTTCCTGTGCTTTGTTCGAGATGTTCCAAATTCTTTCTGTTATCGCTGCTTCGTATTTCAATTTGACTACACTTCCCGTAGAGATGTGGTCAACAATCTTAAGGTATCTAGACCCATTGTCTCTACTTAATGTTGCTAAATCAACACCTTATTTACTTGACGTCTGTCAAGGAGATCCAATTTTAAGAAAACAATTACAACGAGGATTAAAAGAAGAGAAAAATCTTGCTATAGATTTGATTGCCAATCCACGAAAGATTCTCATAGCTAAGAGAAGATTGCTTGCAAAAAAAGCATTTCACAATGTTTTCGAGAAAAAGAAGAGTTTTACAAATATTTTGAAAAGAAAAGCTTCAAGGGACTTGGAAGATAATAGTAGACAAACAAAGAAAGTCAAATTATGTAGAATTTGAATCATACAATGTATTAATTATGTATTAGTTAAAGTTAAAATAAATAAGAGTCTGTAGAATAAATGAAAACTATGTAAATTAAAACAAATTTTATAAATTTTAAAATGGTTTCGATAAACTTAAGATCATTATTTTAGAAATAACAATATATTTTTTTAATTTTATAAGATGTTTTCTATGAGTAAATGAATAAAATATGATTTGTTGTGAATAATTAAGTAAAATATATTATTTAGTAAACGTTCATATAAATAAATACGGATTCCCAATAAAGGTAAAAATATATTTTTTAGCGAAAACAAGCGCAAAATTATTAGAAGACTCTTCAAAAATAATTGTACATTTAAATAAATTTTTTAAGTGTGGTGGACACGAAACCTGATTTGCGGCGGAGAGAAGTGTTTTTTAGACACTTCTCCCGCAGCACACCCGCCTATCTTTCGGCATTGGGTTTGTTTTTCCTCCAAATCTCCAAGCGAAACCACTGCCAAGGAAACCCATCCCATCTCCTCACTCCAAAAATGAGCGAGGAAAGAAGATCGTTTTACCCGACTTTACTGATTATAATAGTACATTTGTTTTTACAGTTTTGCTATTTTACAGTTTTTTTTTTTGGTTTTACAATAATTTTTCTTAATATTAGTTATACATTTATACCTTTTGATATGTCGTTGGGGGGTAAAAATGGTGTGGGTTGAGGTCGCGCACTTTTTATCGCGCACTGTCGCTCACTTTTCCCGTGTTTTTATAGGGATTTGGAGCCAGTATCGTCTTGAAATATATTTTTTACTTTATGAGAAAATAAACAAAAAAAATAAAGTTTTGTAAATGATTAAATAAATTATGTTCTTGTTTCATATTAGTAAATACGGATTCCCGATGAAAGCAAAAATATATTTTTGTCTGTTGTACACTTTTTAGCAAAAACAACACTATTGATATTCTATGATCAAAAAATGAATCTTTTGTCGCACGAAATTTAACACGACCGAAGGCTTATTTCCAAACAATTTTTGTGGTAACGAAAACCGCGCTTACGCTTGGCGCCAGGATCCAAGTTTTGGCGCTCAAAATTTAACACTTGACCAACCATGCGTAAAAGATTATCATATAAAGCCTGTTACATTTTCGGGACTAACCAGTTATTTTCTGTGTTTTGTTCGAGATGTTCCAAATTCTTCCTGTTATCCCTGCTTCGTATTTCAATTTGACTACACTTCCTGTAGAAATGTGGTCAATAATCTTAAGGTATCTAGACCCATTGTCTCTACTTGATGTTGCTAGAGTAATACCTTAACGTTTGTCAAGGAGACCCAATGTTAAGAAAACAATTACAACGGGGATTGAAAGAAGAGAAACATCTTGCTATAGATTTGATTGCCAATCCACGAAAGATTCTCATAGCTAAGAGAAGATTACTTGCGAAGAAGGCATTTCACAATGTTTTCGAGAAAAAGGAACATTCTACAAATATTTTGAAAAGAAAAGCTTCAAGGGATCTGGCAGATAATCGTCGACCAACAAAGCTCAAATTATGTAGAATTTGAACCATACAATGTATTAAAGTTAAAATAAATAAGAGACTGTAGAATAAATGAAAACTATGTAAATTAAAACAAATTTTAAAATGATTTCGATAAACTTATGATCAATATGTGACTGTAAAAGAAATAAAAACTTTGTAAATTAAAATAATTTTATATTTTAAATTTAACAATATATTTGTATTAATTAATTTTAGAATCTTACTCTCAAAGTTAAAATTAATAAAAGACTGTAAAAAAATTGTAAATTATATAATATTTAAAAAATTTCAAAATGGTTCTTACAAAATTAAAATTAATATGAAAAATTAAAAACATTACACATGACATGTTTCGAAGTACAACTTCTTTTTCAAATGTGACTAATTTACAATTCGGTGTCCAATATATATGCGAAGTAATTTAACCAAACAAAGTAATTAAGAAAATACATCAATAGCATAACAAAATAAACTGCCTATTTAAAGTAAATAAGGGTACTAAAGTAATTATGATATCAATCAGATAACAATTAGATAGTATCATTACCGGGATTATCTCACAGAAAACTAGGAAAGAGATTTAATAAAGGTGAGTTATTAATATCTAATTGATCATTTAGTAGGTTATCTGAATTTTTAAATCTATTTATTTAAAGTGTTTTTAAATGGTTTAGTTTAATGCCATTATTTTCTATATGTAAAGTTTCAAAGTTGTCTGTAAAAGAATGATTTTCAGCCAAAATATGATTTGAGTAAGTAGAATTATTTTTATTTTTTGTACAGCTATTATAATGTTCGGAATAGCGCTTTTTGAAAGTACGGCCTGTTTGACCAATATACAATTTTGGGCAACTACCACAATTTAATTTATATACCCCCGATTTATTATTAAGATTAATTTTACCCTCATTGTTTTTAATATACTTCTCAAGCGTATTATTGGTTTTGAAAGCTACGTTAATATTTTGGTTTTTTAAATATGATGATACCTTTTCACTAGGAGCTCTTATATATGTAAGAGTCTTATATCTGCAATTTTGATCTTTAATTATGAGATAAACTTGTTGAATAGTATGTTTAAAAAGTTTTTTTCCTAAAATGTTGTCTACTAACTTTGAATTAAAATTACTCTTTACTGCGATTTGTTTAATGATATTTAATTCTTTTGTGAAGTTCTCTTTGGTAAGGGGGATATTAACTAATCTATGGATCATACTGTTGTATGCTGCCAGCTTTTGTTTATATGGATGAGATGAACTATTATTTATTGTAATATCAGTATGTGATGGCTTATGAAATATCCCAAAACTATGGCCTTTATTAATTTTAATAATATTTAAGTCTAAAAAATTAATTGAATTATCCTTTTCTGTTTCCATAGTAAATTTAATATTAGGGTGTATAGTATTGATAAAAACTACTAAAGAATTTAACTGTCTACTAGTACCAGTAAAAACAGTCAGTATATCGTCAACATATCTATACCAATAAATACAATGTCATGTGTGGTGTTTTTAATTTTTATTTTTTTTTAATAAAAGTTTTGTGAAAATCTACCAAATTTGGTTTTACTCATTTAAGATAATATGGATTTTCATCAAGTAAAGGTTGAAACAATAAATAATATTTTTTTAATTTTTTAGGATGATTTCTATGAGTATATAAATAAAAAAATGGATTTTTGTAAATTATCAGGTTAAATATATTATTTCCTAAGCGTTCATATTAATAAATACGGATTCCTAATAAAAGTAGAAATACATTTTGTAGCAAATACAATTGCACAATTATTAGGAGACTGTTAAAGAAGTAAAAACTTTGTAAATTGAAATAAATTTCTAATTAACAGTATTTTTGTTTTTAATGAATAAATAAACAAATTAGTAAAGTTTTGTAAATTTTTAAATAAATTATGTTGTTTCTAGTTTCATATTAGTAAACACCGATTCCAGATGAAACCAAAAATATATTTTTGTCTGTTAAATATTTTTTAGCAAAAACAACACCACTAAAGTTCTATGATCGGAAAATCAACCTTTTCTCACAAGAAATTTAATAAAACCCAACGCGTAAATGTAGGAACAATTTTTGTGGTAACGAAAACTGCGCTTACGCTCATGGCGCCAAGAACCGACTTTTGGCGCTTAAAATTTGACACTTGACCAACCATGCGTAAAATATTATCATATAAAGCCTGTTGCATTTTCGGGACTAACCAGTTGTTTCCTGTGCTTTGTTCGAGATGTTCCAAATTCTTCCTGTTATCGCTGCTTCGTATTTCAATTTGACTACACTTCCTGTAGAGATGTGGTCAACAATCTTAAGGTATCTAGACCCCTTGTCTCTAACTAATGTTGCTAGATCAACACCTTATTTACTTGACGTCTGTCAAGGAGACCCAATTTTAAGAAAACAATTACAACGAGGATTAAATGAAGAGAAAAATCTGGCTATAGATTTGATTGCCAATCCACGAAAGATTCTCATAGCTAAGAGAAGATTGCTTGCGAAGCAGGCATTTCACAATGTTTTCGAGAAAAACGAAAGTTATACAAATATTTTGAAGAGAAAAGCTTCAAGAAACTTGGACGATAATCATAGACCAACAAAGAAGGTTAAACTATGTAGAATTTGAACCATACAATGTATTAATTATTTTTAGAATCTTCTATTAAAGTTCAAATGAATAGAAGACTAAGGAAGATATAAAAACTATGTAATTTAAAACAAATTTTGTAAATTTTAAATGGTTTCGATAAACTTAAGATCAATATGTGACTATAAAGAAATAGAAACTTTGTAAATTCAAATAAATTTATATTTTAAATTTAACAATATATTTTTGTTAATTCATTTTAGAATCTTACTCTCAAATTTAAAATTAATAAAAGACTGTAAAAAAGAGTTTATATTATATTTTAAAAATTTCAAAATGGTCCTCATGAAATTGAGATTATTATGAGACTTTAAAATATACATATAAAAACTTTGTAAATTTTAATATATTTATATTTTAGAAATAAAAATATATTTTATAAGATGTTTTCTATGAGAAAATGAAATATTGTAAATAATTAAGTTCAATATATTATTCCATAAACGTTCATATTACAGTCAAATCGGGTAACTTTGGGACCAATGGGACAACATTAGACCATACCATGAATTTTATTTACTGTTATCGTCTAAAAAGGAAAGATATCCTAATATTTACAATAGGACCCATAACTAATTACAACTTCAAACTTGTCTGTAAAAAAAATAAAAACTTAAATACAAATTAATTATAACTAATAAATAACTGACCTGGGTTTCTACATTAAAACTAATATGGTTTAATCTTACCCGTAGGCTTTACATTAAAAGAAATCAGTAATTTCTCACGATGAAAATACTTTTGTCAATGTTACCCCAAATCCAATATAAATTTGGACCACACCCAAAAATTATATTTTTTTTATATTTAGAATAATTTTTTTTTTTATTATTTAAAATTCATGTAGATCATTTTACAGAAACAGAAACAAAATCATTCAATATAATTGTGCAACAATAACAAATAAATTCAGATTTATAATAAAAAACTGGGTCCAAAGTTACCCGATTTGACTGTAATAAATACGGATTTCTAATAAAAGCAAAAATATATTTTGCAGCAAAAACAAACGCAAAATTATTAAAAGAATGTTAAAAAATAAAAAAAATTGTAAATTGAAATAAACTTAAAAATATTTTTATTTTATGAGTAAGTAAAAAAATAAAGTTTTGTATATTAATAAATAAATTATATTGTTTCTTGTTTTATATTAGTAAACACGGATTCCCGATAAAAGCAAAAATATATTTTAGTCTGTTATATACATTTTTTAGCAAACACAACACCACTGACGTTATATGATCGGAAAATCAACCCTTTGTCGCACGAAGTTTAACACGACCGAACGCTAATTTCCAAAAAATTTTTGTGGTAACGAAAACCGCGCTTACGCTCATTGGCGCCAAGATCCAACCGTTGGCGCTCAAAATTTAACACTTGACCAACCATGCGTAAGATATTATCATATAAAGCCTGTTACATTTTCAGGACTAACCAGTTGTTTCCTGTGCTTTGTTCGAGATGTTCCATATTCTTCCTGTTATCGCTGCTTCGTATTTCAATTTGACTACACTTCCTGTAGAGATGTGGTCAATAATCTTAAGGTATCTAGACCCATTGTCTCTACTTGATGCTGCTAGATCAACACCTTATTTACTTGACGTCTGTCAAAGAGACTCAATTTTAAGAAAACAATTACTACGAGGATTAAAAGAAGAGAAAAATCTTGCTATAATTTTGATTGCCAATCCACGAAAGATTCTCATAGCTAAGAGAAGATTGCTTGCAAAAGAAACATTTCACAATGTTTTCGAGAAAAAGGAAAGTTTTACAAACATTTTGAAAAGAAAAGCTTCAAGGGACTTGGAAGATAATAGTAGACAAACAAAGAAAGTCAAATTATGTAGAATTTGAATCATACAATGTATTAATTATGTATTAGTTAAAGTTAAAATAAATAAGAGTCTGTAGAATAAATGAAAACTATGTAAATTAAAACAAATTTTATAAATTTTAAAATGGTTTCGATAAACTTAAGATCATTATTTTAGAAATAACAATATATTTTTTTAATTTTATAAGATGTTTTCTATGAGTAAATGAATAAAATATGATTTGTTGTGAATAATTAAGTAAAATATATTATTTAGTAAACGTTCATATAAATAAATACGGATTCCCAATAAAGGTAAAAATATATTTTTTAGCGAAAACAAGCGCAAAATTATTAGAAGACTCTTCAAAAATAATTGTACATTTAAATATATTTTTTAAGTGTGTGGGACACGAAACCTGATTTGCGGCGGAGAGAAGTGTTTTTTAGACACTTCTCCCGCAGCACACCCGCCTATCTTTCGGCATTGGGTTTGTTTTTCCTCCAATTCTCCAAGCGAAACCACTGCCAAGGAAACCCATCCCATCTCCTCACTCCAAAAATGAGCGAGGAAAGAAGATCGGTTTACCCGACTTTACTGATTATAATAGTACATTTGTTTTTACAGTTTTGCTATTTTACAGTTATTTTTTTTTTTGGTTTTACAATAATTTTTCTTAATATTAGTTATACATTTATACCTTTTGATATGTCGTTGGGGGGTAAAAATGGTGTGGGTTGAGGTCGCGCACTTTTTATCGCGCACTGTCGCTCACTTTTCCCGTGTTTTTATAGGGATTTGGAGCCAGTATCGTCTTGAAATATATTTTTTACTTTATGAGAAAATAAACAAAAAAAATAAAGTTTTGTAAATGATTAAATAAATTATGTTCTTGTTTCATATTAGTAAATACGGATTAAAGATGAAAGCAAAAATATATTTTTGTCTGTTGTACACTTTTTAGCAAAAACAACACTATTGATATTCTATGATCAAAAAATGAACCTTTTGTCGCACGAAATTTAACACGACCGAAGGCTTATTTCCAAACAATTTTTGTGGTAACGAAATCCGCGCTTACGCTCATTGGCGCCAGGATCCAAGTTTTGGCGCTCAAAATTTAACACTTGACCAACCATGCGTAAAAGATTATCATATAAAGCCTGTTATATTTTCGGGACTAACCAGTTATTTTCTGTGCTTTGTTCAAGATGTTCCAAATTCTTCCTGTTATTGCTGCTTCTTATTTCAATTTGACTACAGTTCCTGTAGAAGTGCGTGG